CAGAAGCGCGGAGGGCTAGAGGGGGAGGGCATTTGAGGTGAGGTGTGTCGAGGGGGGCTGGGAAGGGGACATGGGAGGTGGGGTTGGTAAGTAGGGTGGGGGTTATTGTGAAGAGACTGCAAAATAAAGGTGGTACTGGGGGTGGGGGTCCAAAGAAGGAAATGTATAATTGAGATTATAGTGGGTATTAAAATAAAGAAGAATAAGATCAAATTTGGTGAGTGCGGGTTTAAAGAAATACGATTAAAATAAATAAGGACGCTCATTTAGTCATTTTGATTTTCTTGATTATTTATGCAAAATTTTAAAAATATCGCTCATTCAATTATTGATTTTGAGCAAGGTGGATATAAAAAATTAAAGAGTAAGATTGAGGATCAAATTAAAAAAATTAGAAATTAAAATATAACATATTGAATGTATTGGTGATTATTAATGTAATAAACCTAACATAAGAGTGGTATCAAATTTTAGTTTATAAAAGAATACTGTGGTTGGATGAGTTGTCGAGAAATATTCAGCATGATGTGTTATGTTGTATAATTTTACAGCTGATATCGTGTTAGTGGATGAGAGTAGAGAAAGAGTTAACACCAAGTTTGAGATTTGAAAAAACATACCTGAATCTAAAAGATTTAGGATAAGCAGAATTAAGATAGAGTACATGGAGTGTAATTTTAATAACAGTGACAATGAAAGCAGAGAAGAAGTGAAAATTGAGAACCAAGTGCTATCTAAGAGTGAACATTTTCGTTATTTAGAATCGATTATCACAATGGTTATGAAGATTGAAGCGGATGTGATCTATAGAATTAAGACATGATAGTTTAAGTGGAGAAGTGCGTTTTGAGGTACTGTGCAATAAATGAGTACCCACTAGACTAAAAAGAAAGTTCTATAAAGGGCTATTAGAACAGTGATATTGTATGGAACAGAATGTTAGGTAACTAAAAAACAACATGTAGATAAGATGAGTGTTGTTGAGATGAGGATGCTTAGGTGAATATGTGGCAAGACTAGAAAAGATAGAGTTAATAATAAGTATATTCGAGAATGAGTAAGAGTAGTACCGATAGAAGATAAGTTGAGAGATAATAGATTGAGATGGTTTGGTCATATACAACAAAGACTAACAGAAGCAGTAGTTGAATAATGCGATACAGTGACAGTAGATGGAAGTTGTTGGCTTTTTGGCTTTTGAAGGTTATTATTGTAATTGTGAACGTACCAGCAAGGATCAATCAGTCCTTACAGAAAATTAATTGCCAACCAATTATCAGACGATTGTGTTTTAGTTCTTTCAGCCTCAGTGAAGAGGACTTTTACTGGTGGCTTGATTTAGGAGAATTAAGCAAAATAACAATTAAATGAAGAACAACTGAAGTATTTCATTAAAATGAAAAACTTACAATGATCCAAACTTAGCCTCGTAGAGGTTTACAGTAACAATCTACTTGAAACTACTCCTATGAACGAAGTGCAGTGCAGGAATTTAAAGTACAGGAAATGTAAGACTGGAAATGTAAAACTGGAAAGGAAAATACGTATAATAAGATTGGTTTTTTTGATCTGAGTCCGGGAGTCTTTTTGTGGGTCTTCTCTGCTATTTGTATTTCTCAAAGATGACCATCGAACTGCATTTCTAATCGTCGAACTGCTCCTCCATGATTGCTGATCATGTTGTCTTATAATTAGCTCCACTATGCTATCATTTGCAGTTAGGCTTCCCTCTTAAATTTGAATTTAAATGTGAGTAACCGTTGAAGCCACATCACTTTGCCTCTCTTTGTTGATCCACTGCTACTCAGATCTCGTAATAACCAACACTAACTGTCACGTGTACGATCAGGATTGAAGACTTGAATAGTCTTCCTGTATTACCCTTATTCTGCTACGCGTCGAATTGTAATTGGCTTGTATAAAATATGTAGCCGACAGAAGTGTTAGGAGAAGGGACAGACCTAGATTGATGTGGATTAGTGTAATAAATAGAGATATGAATCTTCTTAATTTGACTAACGATATGATCTTTGATAGAATCAAATGAAGAAGAATGAATCATGTAGCCGATCTTATTTGATAAGACTTAAGATTTGGTTTAATTTAATTTTATTTGATTTAAAAGAATACCATGGTTGATAATAACAATGATGATGACCACAATGAATATGACGTCAAATTTTAGTTTAGAAAAATAATAACAAATTTAGTTTGTTTGGTTTGAGTTTTTTGAATTTACTTTTTAGAAAATTGAAACTTTTTATTTTTCGTATTTTTTTTGTTTTCACTATTTTTTTTTATATTTTAAGCAATTTTTTTAATTTTTAGATACATCTGACATAAATACACTTAAAAAAGTATAATATTTGTGAAAAAAATCTTTAAAAAATTTACTAAATATCAAAAATACAAAAAAAAATGAAAATTTAGTATAATTTTCGTATTCTTGTGTATTTATTAATTTTTTAAAATATTTTTTTTATAAATATTTTACTTTTAGATAAATCTATGGTGCATCTAAAAAAATAAAAAACTAACTTAAAATTTTACAAATATTTATTAAAAATAAAAATCTTAATTTAAAAAAAAAATTGAATTTAAAAAATTGAAACCAAACGTGAATGATGTTATGAATAAATAAATAAATAAAAAACCAATGACGTTGATGTCAAATTTTAGCTATAATAATATTGACGATGAAGCAACGATGAAACAACTATGATAAGGATGTCAAATTTTAGTTTATAATAGTGTGGCTGATAATAGGACGATGACTCTGTCAAATTTTAGTTCTATAAGATAAAAACTTCTATAACCTTAGTTGAATAAAAACTATGGACGTCAACCATTGGAGTAATTTTTGAATGCAGATAAGATATATGTTATCTGGTAACTTTTATTATTGTGATTAGTTTTGACAGATCCATTACATTTATATTGGGTGTTTGAGAAATAATAAGAGACATATATATTTATGATTGATAAAAGATAATATTATGTGATAACCTATTGACATACAAAAATGTCTCCAACCATTGACATTTGTGCCAGCTTTCAAAAAATTTAAGAGTTACAAAACAAATAAATATTCAAGTGGTGATTGGGTAGAGATTTAAAATAAATAATTTAATATATAAATCTAATTTTTAGATTTATTTTTTAAATCAAGTAATATGTTAGAAAGATGATTGATTCATAATTAAATAATATTTAATTAACAATCAATTATTTTTTTATACCTCACTGAATCTAAAAAGTCCTACATAATAAGGGAAAATTAGTCTAAGGCCGCCCTTCCATCCATTTTCAGTAATGAAAAATCCACAATGTTATTTTATAATGTGTAAAGTTCCTCGCTCCCGCTCTCTGTCTTCTCTCTTATTTTTCTCGTTCTCAACCTCTATGCATCGCCTCTCTCTAAAACTCTCTCCCTTCTCTCTTCCATATCCAGACCTTCTCCTCGCTTCTCTCTCTTCAACCACTCCCATTTTGGAAGAACCAGTACAACCCTCTGAGGAGGAAGACCCTTTGAAATCTCTCGATTCGATTCGATTTCCTCCTGCTATAACTATATATTATTATCAATAACAGCAACAACAAAATGGTAGAAGGCAGCAAGTTATTAGGTGTGGCGGCGGCGGCATTAATGTTAGTGTTAGTGGTGTGGAGCTAGTCAGCAATGGTCGGAATGCTACGATCTGAGCCACGAACCATCACGATCTGAGTCTGACCACTACGATCTAAGCTAAAATCAGCGCTGACGGTCGAGTTGCCTTGATGTCGTGGCTGTCTTCATCGCCACCGTCGCCACTGTTGGTGTCGCCGCCGAGCACAGCCGCTTGATGGTGGTGAGGTGGAAGTCTCAGCCATCTTCATCTTCTTCTTCTTCTTCAACCTCCTTTTTGTAGAAACCGATCGGTCATGGCTTCTCTGCTAAGTACATGTGTGATATATATATAGAGAGAGATTGGGGTTGAAGTTCACATAGAAATGGTTGGACTGTGTTACAGAGATAGTGATTATAATATTTTGTGAATTTGGGAAAATATCATATTAATTTCTAGAGTTGGCAATTTCTGGAGATAACCCACATGAGTGTATGAGGTAAGACACCGTAAAACACTGTTGCTTTTTGATTTCACACTTCGTTGTTGGTCTTGCTGATCTTCTCTTTGATGAGAAGAAATTGATGGGTATTGTTATATGTAGCTTTTGAAGAAAACCCAGATGGGCACTCTCAGTAAAATTTGTTTGTTTGTTTTGTTTTTGTGGTACACTCAGTGAAATTGATCGAATTTCTCTGATTTGATTTGGATTGAATTTTCTCTGGTTTAGAGTTGAGAAATTTTCTAATTTAGATTAAATTTTCTATGATTTTGATTGAATTTCTCTGGTCTCTGGTTTGGACCAGAGAAATTCTCATAGTTGAATTGAATTTTCTCTGAATTGAATTTTCTTTGGATTTTTTTATTTTTATTTTTATTTTTTTTTTAATTTTTTTATGTTAGTCCATAGATCTAGAGAAATTTGAAGGTTCAAAGTCTTGAACCCAGAGAAAATCTTTGGAAGCTCAGAATTTCTCTGAATAGAATTTGTCTGGGTTGAAATTTCTCTGGAATATTGAGAGACCTTAAACATTATGAAAATATTAAATGTCGTTTATATTATAAAATTTTAATATCAAGGACCCTGAAAAAAAAAATCCCAAATAATAATGCTCTTAAAATATATAATTAAATAAATAAATGAAATATAGGTGAAACACATTCTACTATTATTTTCTTTGAAATGGAAAAGTCAATCATAAGATGAGGGGTAGGTTGGACCTGAGAGAAAAATAGTAGTAACGAAGTTTTTTCTTTGTAATATTCAAATCCAAGGCAAGTCATCCATAGTCTACCAGTTTATTTTTATTTTTTTGTTTTTTCAGTGTCTCACATGTGAGAGTTCGCTTTGCTTAGTAATATTGATATTCAGGGCCAGACATACGAGTTTGATTCCTCAGTATATTCAAATACAAAGCAAGTCATCCATAGTCTACCAGTTTATTTATTTTTTAAATTTTTTTTTCAGTGTCTCACATAAGAGAGTTCGCTTTGCTTGGTAATATTGATATTCAAGGCCAGACATACAAGTTTGATTCCTCAGTATCTATATTTGCTTTGAACGTATGAGTTTCAGAAATCCTTGGATTTTGTTTAGATCATGAATTTGAGTAATATTTTCCCTTTTTTTCTGAAAACATCCCCAAATGTATGATCTAAATACAACCTTTCTTTTACTGCTTTGTTACATGCAACAATATCATGGCTCTATTTTGATTTGTTTCAATAAAAATATTAATAAGGTTGGATACCCTTTAGATACTTGTTCGGAATTTTAATTGGATCTGCAGGATTAGTTTTTTTTTTTTTTTTCCAATCAAAATAATCTGCTCAAATGCAGTTATTTATTTATTTAATTTTATGTTGTTTCAATCTCCGTGTATGTTAATAAATAAAAACTCGGCTGCTGCAGATGTAACAAACCAATGGATGGATTGCGCGAAAGCACCAACTTCTCAATCATCTGCGAAAAATTCATTTGTGTTGCATAAACTTCAAAAAGGTAATGGTTCTGGCTGTCTACATATCATCTTTATAGAAAAATTTTCTTTTCCAGTGATGATCTAGGACATTTTAAATTTAAAAAACAAAAGCATATATACTGGTAGTTTCTATACTTTTTGTTGTATCATTTTAGTTTTTGTAATTTTAATTGGTTTGATTTTGACTCTAAATTTATGATTTTATTTCAATTCAGTTCAAATAGTTAGCATTTTTTTTTTTTATAAAAAAATACGTAAATAAGCAGGGATGTTCATTACTTTTAAGAGTCAAATTATAAACTTGTTCAACTCAGTGAATTAATCTCAATTAATTTAATAATTATTTTCCGTCAAAAATTCTGACCACTTTATCAATTGGACCAAATTGATATAAAATCTGAACTTTTTTTTTTTTATCAACAAAAAAATAACTTAATTATGAAATGCATAGTACAAAATACACATACAACATCAATAAAGGAAAGTGAGTGAAAACAGCATAAAGGAATGTAAGATCATCACAACTATGTTGGCACCAACTTGTACTCCCAATCATTTGCTAGCACAATACCAAGTTGGTGAAAAGCCAACCAACTGCAAAGCACCAATAAAAACTCAACCACCCAGCTCCAGTAACCCCAAAGTCACACCAGATCACCACCATACCGCAATAGCAGGGCAGACGTGAGCCAAAATAGGTAGCAAGTAGCAGTAGAACACCTATTTCAGGCAATGTCTTACACTCCCTAAATTTGAAATAAAATCCTGAGCTGTAAAATGGAACCCTTTTATACTTGATCTTGCCCACAAAGCCACCCTCACCTTCACCAATTCCCCTATCTCAGCATAATCTGGTTGACTTCCATTAAAAAAACAGTCATTTCTTGCTTTCCAAACTGACCATAGTAGTGCAATCGGTAATGATTTACAGATCAGATGTTCCTTTTTCTTGAGTTTAACTCCCATCCACCACCGGAGCAGCCCCTCCACACTTGTTGGTGTTGCCCAGCAAATTCCCCACCAATCCAATAGCTCAGACCATAATCTCCACACACCTGGACAGAGTAACAACACATGATTCCCCGTTTCCGGTTCAGATTTGCAAAATGGACAAGTAAACTCCTCACTACTTCTAATTACTCCAAGTCTTGTAGAAAATCTGTTGTTTTCGCCTCCCTCTCCAAACTAGCCACCCAAAAAATTGGGCTTTAGGTGGTGCTACATTGTTCCACAACTTCGACACATGCAATCTAGGTCCATTATTAGTATCACACCACTGTCTTGCTGATGCTACAGTGAACTGGCCACATGGATCTGTATCCCAATGTAGAGCATCAGGGAAATTCGGGGGCCACAACCCAGCCAACCCTGTAACCTATCAACTTCTTCCTCTTCCCATGCTAAAAGAGGCCTTCTGAAAGAAAAAAACCCAAACCCCTGTGCTCTGTCTTCTTTGAACATAGTCCTTCAGTGTGCCATTCTTATCGCCTGATAGGTTGTGAAATCTAGGGAACTCAACCTTCAGTTGGGTGTTCATGTGCCATTTATCAGACCAGAAGTGTATGCTACACCCATCCCCAACTCTTATCTTCAGCATATGGACCAAGCTGATGTAAGAATTCTGAAGAACTTTTGTATATTCAATTGTGTTTTAATCCAATGTATACATCTGATATATATAGTAATTCTAGACCTAATCCTAAATACGAAGCAACAATAAACCTAAACCAATTCTAAATAGGAAATAAAATTCACATAATATAGACTATACTAATATTATTCTCACACCCCCGCTCAAACTTAAGGTGTTTGGGCAGAGAACACCGAGAGTTTGCCAAGAAGAAACTGAAACCGAGCAGTGGTATTAGTTTTGGTAAAGAAGTCAGCAAGCTGCAGAGTCGAAGAGACGAAAGGAAGCGAGATAGAGCCAGACTACAGATGCTGATGAACAAAGTGACAATCAATCTTAATGTGCTTGGTCCGCTCGTGGAAGACAGTGTTATATGCAATTTGAATAACATTGCAGTTGTCACAATAGAGGGAGGTCAGAAAAGACTGAGAGACACCCAAATCAGAGTGAAGACAACGAAACCAGACAACTTCAACAGTAGCATGAGCCATAGCACGATACTTAGCTTTGCAGTAGAGTGAGCAACAACAGTTTGTTTCTTGCTTTTCCAAGAGATCAAGGAATCGCCAAGAAACATACAGAAACAGACGTGGACTTGCGATCAGTAACACCACCAGCCCAATTAGAATCAGCATAGGCCACCAAATCCAAAGAGGAAGTAGAGGACAATAGTAAATCGTGAAATATAGTACCGCAGAGATAGCGAAGAATCCGAACCAATGCAGCCCAATGTGTGGAGGGAGGAGCAGAGACAAACTGGTTAACCACATGAAAAACATAGGCAAGATCAGGACGAGTAACCGTCAAATAAACTAAGCAACCCACGAGCTCTTGATATAAAGTAGGATCATCCAGAAAAACACCATCAGTAATGTTAAGCTTTACATTAAGCTCAATGAAGGTATCAGAAATCTTAGTGTCAGCAAGACCGGCGCGATGAATAACCTCATTAGCATACTTAGTCTAAGAGAGAAAGTATCCCTTGGGAGAAGAAGCTACCTCAATACCAAGAAAATACCTAAGAAGAGATAAGGAGTCATATGATGAGAAGCACTAGAGTCAAAAATCTAGACAGACGAAGAGATACTTGAAGAAAACCCAAGCAAACCTGAATAAAGAGAGAAAACAACCGAAGTAGACAGGGGGGGCTGGGAGGTAGACAGTATATACTGAAGTTGACTAATCTGAGCCCTTAAAGAAGCCAAGTCAGGATCAGGAGTCAGAGCAGATGCAGTGGTACTGACGAAGGGACGAAAAGTACTTAGGGGAGGAGCTCGAGACTGGGTTTGAGACTGCTGAGAAGACGTGGCAGGTATACGTCCCTTCTTGGGACAGTGATACTTCCAATGGCCCTTCTGATGACAGAAAGCACACTCATTTGAAGCCAGATACATCATAATAACCTGAAAGCTGAGGGGTTCAAGTGTAATCAACCTTATATAGAACAAAATAACCAAACTAGGGGTTAAAGGGTAATACACAGAGGGATAAAATAAATCCAAAATCACAGTATAATAACCAGAAGAGTTTGGGTTTAAGCATAAAATATAATAACCAGTGGGGGTCAAAATATAATAATCATATGTTCTTGAAGCCGAAGGAATCAGTTTGATGATGAAGAACCAAATCAGAGAAGAGAGAGAGAGCGACTGAACCAAATCAAAGAAGAACCAAATCAGAGAGAACCAAATCTTGAAGCCGAAGGAAACAGTCTAATAAAGAACCAAATCAAAGAGAACCAAATTAGAGCAGAGAGAGAGAGAGAGACTGAAGCCAAGAGAACTTGAGGCTGAAGTCGTGTTTGACGGAGGTCGCATCTGAAGGTCACAAACCAGCGAGAGGAGTTATGAACCAGATTGGTCACGATTCCAGCCCTGAATGGTCGCGATTCCGATGCTAACAGATCTGGTACAATCGAGATTTCGGTGACTAAACTAGAGAGAGAACACGAATGAAGGTCATGCAAGAGCCAAGCGAACTTTGATCGATCAAAGAACATCGATAAGAAAGCTTCGTACTTCGTGAACATGACCACAAAGAGAGAGAGAGAGAGAGAGAGAGAGAGAGAGAGAACTTCGCAAATACCAATCCCGATTTTGGTGCTCTACAATTTGCAACTCAGAGGGGTAAAACCAGAGGGCTGATTTTCGATAGACGATTGCGATGAAGAAGAGCACCTATGATTACGACTCAGTGAGATTCTGATGAAGAAGACGACACAGAGTCAATTTCTAGGGTTTCGGCTCAGAGACGACTCTAATACCATGTAAGAATTCTGAAGAACTTCTGTACATTCAATTGTGTTTTAATACAATGTGTACATCTGATATATATATATATATAGCAGATCTAGACCTAATCCTAAATAGGAAACAAGAATAAACCTAAACCAATCCTAAATAGAAAATAATAAACCTAAATCAATCATAAATAGGAAACAATAGTTACATAATATAGACTATACTAATATTATTCTCATAGATGATACACAGGACAAAACGTAAAAACTATCAATGTAATTTACTCCAAATATATATATATATATATATATGTATATGCATACATAAATATGAAAGCAAGAAAGAGAACTTGAAAACACAATTTTGTTATACTTAAACTCACATCATCAAAATAAGCCACCCAAACTTGATTAATATAATGCAAGGATCATCAATTGATTTTGAGTTGGATATTTTAATATGATATCAAAGCTGGGTCTTGGAGGGTCTATCACATTTTTTAGTACAAACGGTCCATTTCTCAATCTGACCTTTCAATAATATATAATACAAGGAATGCAAGGGCCTCTCCACTCATTCCACTCAAGCTTAATTATATAACGTAAGAAATACGGCCTCTCTGCTCATTTGCCAATTAGTTCTTCCAATCGTCAATCTAAGCCACCTAATTCTCACTCATTCTTTAACAAAGAACGGAAGAAGACGATGAAACGAAAGAGCTAGGACAAATTCCACTCATTGCCATTGATTCCTCCACTCACCTAAGCCACCCAATTCTCCACTCATTCTTTAACAAAGACAGGAAGAAGATTAACTAACAAAGTCACTCTATCATTTCCATTATTAACTAACTCACTCACTCTATCATCTCCACTAATTACAACTAACTCTTGTTGACTCTTCCAGCTGAAAAGATTAACTAATTCACTCAATCACTCTATCATGTCATCTCCACAACGATAACTAACTCACTCCCACTCATTCTTTAGAAGATTAACAGCTTAACTAACTTACTTACTCTATCATCTCCACTAACTAACTAACTCACTCTTTCATCTCAACTAACTACAACTAACTCTTGTTGACTCTTCCAGCTCAGCTTAGCTCAATAACTTGTTACTTATTTAGGGGTTGTTTGGAATGATTTAAA